ATATGGCGATTACTAGTACTAGTTCCACGTACTGCGTTCTACTTGCCATTCGCAAGGGACGCCGGCAACCAGCGAACACCGCCCTTTAAAATGCCCTCTATGGCAGGTAACGCAGAAAAATATATTCGAATGTAAATAAGTCACTGGCTATCAAGGACGGTCCCTGAGTATAATCAGTGTGCAAAGTAAATTCTGATCCGCGATGTATCACTACTTACCCTTGACTGCTAAAATGCAACGCTGAAGATTGCTTCTTTCCTAATATTTGGTATGCATGAAATGACCATGGTTTGAAAATAGTTAGGTGTTTTTTGAGTAAACCGATTGTACCAGCTAATCGTAACATAATGATTCATAAGCTCATATCTCGTCACGGTATGTGCGGCTGCGTGGTACATTGTAGGAAATAGTAATAACAATAGTGACTTTTGACAACAGGGGGCGCTTGTTAAAACATCACTATTTTATTTAACGATCTCCATATTTTTTCAAACAATTTATTTTTAAATAGGTAACTCAGTAAAATACGTTTACTGTCGGCTTTTGCAACAAAATAATACTTGTAAAAGCAATGACCTTGTTAAAAATAAAATTGACGCTGACCGAAGTGTTCAGAGCAACACAACCATACATAGACGTATATATTGCTAACAGAGCAGAGGTATACACGGAGAGTGATTGTTAAATGCCAATCTCACCAAATTTTAAAATAGTTTTAACTTTCATTTTAAAACAATTTTAAGCCTTGTTCTTAAATAGCTAACCATTCGATCAATGTATCTGTTGCAATTACCGAGTTCAGTAGTTCAAACATTGTATCGGAACAGTGGTATAAATATGCAATCGTATTTCACATACTCCATCTCGGAATAGTAGCGACGCGATGTTTTGATTTTGTACACGTTTGTAGAAACGCCGCGTCGAGAGAACGCTCATTACTTACTTCCACCTCCGATATTCATCCATACTAGTCGGTGCAGTCGGTCTATTACCGTGGAATTGAGACATAATTTGTGTTTTGCCTTTCTCAAAACGGTCTTAGATGCATACAGGTATTAGAAAGTACAGGCAAAGCAAACCACCTAGAGGTTAGTAACTCAAAAACACGATTTCCCCTTCATCTCAATAAAACTAGCAAATGAATCAGCCAACCGATGTCATGTGTTGATTGTTACAACTACCACAATTTAAACATAGTAGAATGTTCGATATGTAGTTTCCCTTATTTAATAAATGAACACTAGGGGGCCCTTGTCACTCCTGCAAGACATGAGTGGAATATTCAGTAAAAAAATAAATGTTGATTGATGCTGAATGGAAATCCCCATTTCAGCTAATAGCTATGTGGATTGGTGCCTTTCCACCTTTCTGTCATATTGATGAAACGGTTGCACAACAATTTAAAGGGGAACCGCTCAATCCCATGGATTGCACCAAAGAATCATGGGACACTATTGTTTATGTTGTTTACAATGTTAATCTATCTTTTGTTATCCATTGTTATTTTAATCCAGAAAGTAAATTTGTTGTGAAATTAATCTTAACTGGAAGGTGCCCCTTTAAACTCGTGCCTAGGTACAAGAGTGTTGGGATCTCACACAGCACAGTGTCACTAGCTAAAGATGGTTGTTACCGTGAAATTCAACATAATACATGTACATTGTACGTGCTTACACGAGTGGTTTTGTGCCATATTGAAATTCTGTGGCAATTATTAATACTCGTACTCTTACCTCAACTGTGTATATTAGATTAATAGATAATTAATAGACCATTTGCAAGATTGTTTGCCCGTATGTGCATGCATCATGATTCTAATAAAATTTGAGTGTGCACTACTTTGAAACTATCGTATTACAGCAGAAAATATCCAATCCCTACTTATGTCACATCTTACTCTTGTCACACTATGGTTAGAATGCAGGCACTGTCATGTGATATTGAGAAAGCTTTTAAATATTAATATATGCATACACAAAACGTTCTTTGTAATTTGGTAGGATTAAAAAATCACGATTTTCATAATAGCTAAAATTTGACTCCATAGGAGGTAGTATACATAAGATGATGTAAAAGAACTCACCCTGGGTGCCTGTTGTTGGGTCATTAGTTTAGACACCCTGTAGCTTGAAATGGTATGGTTATAATCAAAATTCGATATGGCGAAGTGACCAGTTATTTCTTGCAAACGTCTTCTAACTCCGCCCATTTAGTATACTAACAAATTAGACCGAGGACTGTCGACAGTCTGAGATACATTCACACCAATATGTTGGGTATCAGCAAATAAGAACGAAATAAAAGTAAAGTCTGTGGTGGCCATATCGCTCAATATATATAACTGAATATGATTGTATATATAACACCTCCCAGATGTGTCCATTTGTGCCAATATTTTAACTCAAAGTGTTGGTGGATATCTGGTCGCAAGTAACGGTTTCAACATCCTCATTTTTTGGCTATGTTTGGTACTTCAAATGGCATTGGTACATTCAGTATACAGCAGGTTGCTTCTTATCAGTTGTTTAATGTCTTCTCCTTCGCCCATAATTTCTCAGTGCACAACATCAACTTTATTGCTTTATGTAAAAGTGTGCAAGCCTGGTTGTTAACAACTTTAGTTGCTTTACTATGAAACATTTACCTACAAAAGCTTCAAAAATGACACTCGGCCTATGCATTCTCCAAGGACTCGCCTTGTGTCTATAAGCAAACATACACTGCAAGTATATCCGCAAACCAGTTCCCTTTGGTTGGTAGAGGGCACAGGAAAGCAAATGAAACGGTCAAACATATATCTGACATGAACAAAATGTTTTTATTGTCTTATTTACATGTTTGAAAAACACTGAAAACACCCTCTGGTGGGCCAACGCTAAAACAGAAATCATTTTTTTTTTCTTAAAAAAAAACGAAGCACCTTGGATTCCCTACAAAGTATATGAATATGACACATGATCATATAGTGTATTTTGGACATATTAAGCTTTCATGACACACTGATGGTGGTTAGTCTTCATATTATCTATGATTAATCACACTGATGGTGGTTAGTCTTCATATTATCTATGATTAATCACACTGATGGTGGTTAGTCTTCATATTATCTATGATTAATCACACTGATAAAGGAATAAAGTACAAATCTCAATAGTAATTTCTGGAAGCTTGGCAATAAAATGTTTCTTCTTATTGTGGAACATAACAGAATAGAAAAGGCTAATAATTGTGGGAAATATACCAACTTGTAAAAAGTCTAATGGGGTCACAGAAGTGCAAGTTAGTCATGAACCAAAAAGTGTCCAGCATGTGGTTATGAGATTATTACATACTGCCTCCGGTGTTCACGCCTTCAAGTACATATGCAACCTACTTGGATTTGTCAACCAATAAGAGCATGCCTCACTAAAAAACAGGCAATCGAGAAAGAGATCTGTAACACAAATTCTGATTGGTTGCAAGAAGAAGGAATGCAATGTACTGGTAGTAGTAATGTGTCTGATATTAAAAGTGATCACAGACACCAGATTGGTATAAAACTTTGTACATGTTATACTGATATTGGTTTGAATTCAGTTGAACTTATGCCACTAAACAAAGACAATAAGCATTTAAGCTTTTGAGATAAATTGAGATCATATCTTATAATGTAAAGCAAATCACTGCTAAGTCAATAACAAAATGTAAAATATGTATCATATATAAATATCATTACAAAAATTGTTTGAAAAAACATAGTAACTATAAGTAAAGATGAGATCACACTTTGTAATATTCAACTACATAACATGAATTGTAATAGTGTTTGCCAAAAAAAAAATCGATTTGAATGCTAGAAGACAACACACCTAACAGGGATGCTGTTTTATCACCATAAGGCAGTATTTACTGGAAAGGTGTCACTGTCACTTGCTGTTGAGAGGCAGCTAACTTTAGAAACCATAGTAACCGAGACACTGTACATTAGGAACCATCGATACCAAGACACAGTACTTTTGAAACCATAGTAACCAAGTCATCGTTACCATAGGCTGCATCAATACCGAGACACATTACTTAAGAAACCATAGATACCGAGACACTGTATTTTAGGAAACAATGATACCAAGACACAATGATTTAGTAACCATAGTTACCAAGATACTGTTACCTTAGAAATCATAGTTACCAAGATACCGTTACCTTAGAAACCAGTTACCAAGATACTGTTACCTTAGAAACCTTAGGTACCAAGATACTTTTACCTTAGAAACCATAGTTACCAAGGCACTGTTACCTTAGAAACCATAGTTACCAAGACGTTGTTACCTTAGAAACCATAGTTACTAAGACACTGTTAGCTTAGAAACCATAGTTACCAAGACACTGTTAGCTTAGAAATCAGTGTAACTTTCACTGCTACAAATTTGAGGATTTGTAATTTTCAAAGAACATTTTTTTGTGAAATCAAATTTTCATTTGATGTTTTGCACGTACATGCTACTATGAGATCTGAATGAAAATGGCATGGAATAACACTCCTGGTTATCAACTGAACTTGTTTGAATGCATGGTGAATCATACATTTTGGTCATTTCTGAGACTAGGTTAATTCAGTGAAACAAGTGCGAGACTGTGAAGGTTGTTCTGTTTACAGAAGTGTTTGGTTTATATAACTAATTCTCAAAACACAGGACGAATATGACATTCTTTTTTTCAGAACCATTTTCCACTGTAGTAGGTCCAAATGCCATGTACACTGAACTTGTCTCGCATGTGTTATTCTGCTAAACAAAGTGGGACTTCAAATTCCACATTTGTATGGTGTAACTGTAAAATACTGAGTCAAAGAACAAATTGTTCTTTAAATAAAGCAGATTATTGCATACCGTATTTCATTCAAATCAGTTAACAACCGTATTTCCAGAATGAAACATAGGGTACTTTTCCTAGTTTCATCAGAATTTACAATAAACCTGATTGTGAAGCACAAATCATGCAAATAATAGTATTAAAACCACAATTTCATAGTTATCTGTCTTTTACAGATATAAAATGTTTATCCTGTCTTGGTATTCTTGTACCAGTGTTTACTTCAGGAGAGACCTTGCGGCCATGGAGACCATACGAAGAGGTCGTGCCATTTCATTTTGTGTATTGTTCTGGACAAACAGATCTATTTTCTGTACAAGTGACATTAAGACTGCAGGCATGTGTTCTCTGGCGATAGGATGGGTGGAGTCTAGATTCATCACAGCTTCTTGCAAATATCTAGAAATGACAAGATAAAGTAATTTTCAGTCAATATTGTTCTTGTTTATTGATTGTCAATATAGAAAACAGGCTAACACATGCCCCACACATGCCTCGTGACTGTCACATATGAGCTTTGTAAAACAACTTCATACTGGAGAATACTTTGTTTTCACTTGGAATTTATTTTCACTATTTTCACTGAAGGGATGATTCCGTGGAAATGAAATCCTGCGAATATACTTTCTTTCCTATATTTCATATTAAACTCACCAAAAATCAGTGAAAATAAATTCCATACAAAACGCCCAAAAAGCCTTTTCAGCGAAAATTAATTCCAGCGAAAATAAAGTATTCCACAGTATGTAATTCTGATTGATATGGCCATTCTGAAAATCAAAAAAGTGTTCTCAAAATAAAGATGCTTCTCAGTTATCTCATCACTTTCAGAGAACAATATTTTGAGGGAAAAACCAACATAAAACAAAGTTTCTTTACTTACTTTTGTTTAAGTTCTGTGTCACTTTCTAACTCTGCCGATAACTGCTGTATCAATGATAGAATAACCGGCTGTTCGAGAGGACAAGGAGACTCCTGAAACACCTGAACCGCTGACACTGACTGACAGATGTACACAACAAGATGGAGATCCGATGCTGATAAAGCCTAGAAGAGGAAATTATACATCTCGGTAAAATCATCAAGATTATAGCACGTGTTAAAACACCGGTCATTTGGCTTTGCTTGTTCAAATTTATATTAACAGACAATGCATGTCAAACAGGATACTGTGTTAAGCTTTTTAGAAGTGCTCAAGTGAAGTGTTCAAGTCAGAGTATTTTCTTTCCCAGGTACAGTGCAAATTATTGAAATTGCAATTATCATCTCTATGTATTAGTGCAAATATCTGTCATTATTTTGTTTTTTTATTTCATTGTACAGTATAGGGCTAAATTATCATTTTTGATTATTTCGCTCACAGCTGAATGTGCCAAATTAAAATATTCAAATTTAACAATTCCTAATTTTCGAGTTGTTGGTTTTCTACAGAATTCCGCTGGTCGAACCACAAAGTATAGTACCAGTAAAAGTAACCCCCTCTTGAATGCAACATCCATAATCAAAGTACACATACACAACACATTTACGCATGAAATCGGTAACTGTTGAATTAATACATACTAATTGAAAGGCTGAGTTCAGCTGTCCTTGGTGGAGCAACTGCACGATCTGAATCTGTAGTTGTTGGATATTCGCTTGTGATGACACGGGTGTGGCTGCTTGAGACCGCACAGCATTGACTATACTTGTCTCAACAACAGCTTGCTGTTCTTTCATAGCATGGCTTACTTCTTGTTTAACCACTTCACGTACTTTGTTTACCAGCATGCCTTGAAGACTGGAAAGCAAAGTAGGATTAATTTAGTGAATTTTTAAAAATGTGCCTGTAAATGAGATGTATTTCAATACTGTATAGTTCATTCCTTGCAATCATAATATACTCATAATTCTCAAGACTAAGTCAAAAATAGCATTTTTTACTAAACTAAAAATTACAAAATATTTGCCAAAAACAGAGAATAAATGAAATCGTCTTGAAATAAACAAATCTGGCCGAGGTCCACCCAAGGTCTATACCAAAGCAATTGAGATGGTACTTTTTAATGAAGGTTTTTAAATTAGAAATGCAATAGGTGACGGATGACAGCGGACAATTGCCTATATGAACAGCTAGGGTAGTTTATTTTATCCATTAGTATATCAAGCATTTTTCTCAGAAATCTTTGTTATTTGGCCAAACTGTTTTCAAGATATTGTGAAAACCAGAAACAAATCATGTCACATTCTCATAAATTGTATAACTGTTATTTGCCTACCTTGTCATAGATTTTTTGAGCTGTTTATCAAGTTCTTCTTGCACACCACTGACAACATTTTTTTTAATTTCAGCAGAGCTGGCCTGGAATGCATCAAACATGGTCTGCATCTTTGCAAGTGTAGCCTCATTCTCAGCCTGAGTTTGTTGGCTTTTGTTCTGCAGATGTCTTTCTAGTTGCTTAATATCTGTAGAAAACCAAGATACCCTTCAATGTCAACAGGTTACACTCAAAAACTGTCAACCGATTACACTCAAAAACTGTCAACTGATTACACTTGAATTTTGTTAATCGATTAAACTCAAAAACTATCAACCAATTACACTTGAATTTTGTCAACCGATTAAACTCAAAAACTATCAACCAATTACACTTGAATTTTGTTAACTGATTACACTAAAAAACTATCAACCAATTACACTTGAATTTTGTTAACTGATTACACTAAAAAACTATCAACCAATTACACTTGAATTTTGTTAACCGATTAAACTCAAAAACTATCAACCAATTACACTTGAATTTTGTCAACTGATTAAACTCAAAAACTGTCAACAGATTAAACATTAATACTGTTAACAGATTACAGACTAATAAATCAAGTCACTGTAAATGATATATGAATCATGAGGCAACAAAAAAACAGCAAGAGCTCTATGGATTGTGTTGGTCAACTCAAATGATGACAGGTTAAATAAAGATCTTACATTCTTGGGTTCCTGTTTGGAAAGTGTCATTTATTTGATGAAATATATTCTGGCAAGATTTCTCAAAAGCAGGAACAATATGAGATTGGAACGTTTCCCTGTACGTAGAATGCATTGCATTCTGGACTGTATTGGCAGCGGCTTGACCAATGGCTTCTGTGGTCGACTATGGAAAAAGAAAAGAAGATATCATTGCATCAACAATAATACCACAGTTGATCGTATTTTACATGCAATAATTTGACCAACATGAGTTTACTGCGAATCCCCATGAAGAAGTATGGTCAAATATACAAGATGTAAAAAACAATTATTCGCTTACAAGAAATTCAAACACAGTGCAACTTTAAAGATACATACCCGTGCTCTCACTAATTTTCCAATATTTTCCTTCATGAGTGCATCTGTTGCTGTTAATTTTTGTGCTACTGTCTGATGAAGTTGATCTTTCAATGGATCCACCACTCGATTCACAGCTATTGAGACAAATAAATATTACAATCTTTTTTCAGATATCTTACAGGAAAAAATGTCTTCTCTAGATTACTACACTCAACTTATGCAATCCAATAAGTGTTTGTAGAGTCAAAATCAGTTTTATATCAGCAGGATTTCAGATATTCCAGCATCGCTGCATCAAAAATCTTTTTTTCATTCAAAACCAAATATACATAAAATTGCTCTAACATAGGTCCTACCAAACCAATCACACTAACATGTTCTTCAAATACAGTTCTGCATAATGCAGACCATGACCAACAAAAAAAAAACAAGAAGAGCATCAACTGATGTAAAGAGAATGGTTGCTTAGTAACAATATACCTGGAAGTACACAGTTCTTCATCTCAGCTCTGACTGTTTTTTCTAATTTCTGTGTTATAGTTGTACTCAGTGTTTGTGATACTGTTTCTAGTAGTTTCTCTTGTTTCTGTTTGTCCATTGACTGTCTTTCATGCAACGCTGCATCTAGTCTCTGTTCTGTAACACTATTAAGGAAACACTTAAAACACAACTATAGCTGGAAGGAAATGGGAAATAAAGAAATACACTATATTTGACTGAGAAGTAGGTGGCAATATTTGTTTCCATGAAGGCCATGTCAGTTTCGATGGTGAATATTGCTTGTTTCCATGGTGACAATGCTTTTTTTAGTCAGAAAATTGAACTTGATAATATACATGCACAAGAACAATGACAAAATAAACCCATCAATCAATGAGGTAATTCCACTGCTTCTCTGCATACTAATATACTGTAGAACACTTTACTTTCACTTGGAATTTATTTTCGCTATTTTCGCTGAAGGGATGATTCTGTGAAAATAAAATCCAGCGAATATACTTTTTTTCCTATATTTCACATTCAACTCATCAAAAATCAGTGAAAATAAATTCCATAAAGAACGCCCAAAAAGCCTTTTCAGCAAAAATTAATTTCAGTGAAAATAAAGTATTCCACAGCGCTAACAGCCCAAAATGGAAAATCCTTTTACAAGATTTGTTGCCTGTGTTGATAGCTGGTGTTCAGGGGAGTGTTTAAGTGTCCATACGACTTTTGAACATGTTACGGTAATACCAGTATGTACCGAACGCTTAATTCTGTTTTTTTTAGCTTCAAGATGTATACCATTATATGAATAACGCAGAAATAAACTTTGTCAGAGTAATGTACATCAGGGCATTTCGTAATGAAGGATACTTTCTTCCTGTGACTGGTGAGCCATTACTGTATCTATTTTATTCCCAATGTGCTTCTCTATTTTATCCATTTTACTTTTTAAGCTCTGTACCACGGTATTGTTCAACTGATGTTTTTGCACCTCTTGACGCAGTTGCTTAATTTCCTGCTCCTGAGTCTTCAACATCGCCAACAGCTGTTGAATACCCGATGATAACTGAAATGCAAATAGACAAAGAATAGACATTTATATGAATGTTACTATGATAATGGATGCCCTTAGCACTAGCAGGTCAGATTCATATATGTAAGTCCTCCGTCAACTACAGCTTAATTTTACTAAAAAAATAACAATGAACCTGAAGAGGTGTAAATTAGAATTTTCCATAGGTTCCAAACAAATAATGGCAGCAAGGAAATATTGATGTTTGTGCGTGAGAGTGAATTCATGCATGTGCTGGGCTGACATCACCTTTGAACTCAGAGTCACAAAATTGCAATTGTTCACAACTTTCAATGACATACTAAGACTACAAGATACAGTGGTGCATCTCCTAGCAAACATTACAAGACATACACAAGTAATATCCACTTGCAGCTCAACAAATGAAATTAACTGCATATCTCTGAGGGTTTGCATACCTCTGAGGAGGTCTCTTCAGATAAAACAGGAATGGATTTCTTTGGTCTTGGTGAGCTTCTGGCCTTCCTTTCTTTTCTGAAATCTTTTTTGAAAGCTTTATCTTTACCAGGAGTACTGGATGATGAAGACAATGACGCAGCCTCCAATGATTCATGATCACTACTTAATAAAGAATATAAGAGATGCAGATCATCAATGTATGGGCTACCATGGCAACAAGTAATTATTGAGAGAATGTGCAAAGTACATGTCTGTAATAAAGACTGACATGTATTATGAAAACATTACATTTATTTTCTGTATTATTTAGGTTTTCTTCTGAATGCTCTAGTTATATCCAAATATGGATAGAGACTTCTAGACTACTTAGTGGCCGGTTTGGTGAGATTTCAAATAATTTCGTATATGAACTGGGAATTTCTATGACAAAGTTTCTATGTAAAACAAGATCATTATGATCACGTTTTAGAGGTTATAAAAATTACATTTATGGCTTATAATACTGTCTCTATAACAACCGATTGAGATTGAGTTGTAGGTCACAGCAAAGCAGTAACACAGCTATTTATTGATGGATGGAATTTGATGATTACACCTACACAATGTACCTTGTATCTCCTTTAATGTCTTGTACAGTGACATCCAACCTCTGTGGTATGACTTCTCTATCATTGTCTTTTATACTACCTTCAGTGGAAGTTGCATTCATTTCATCTGTTCTATAAGTTTCTGCCACTGCTGCAGCGTTTGCACTGAAATTAAAAGATAAATTTGTGAAACAGTATAATACAGTAACCGATTGAAATTTCAATTCCAGTTTGATATTTTGATGGTATTGACTACCACACCACACCTACGTTGATGTGGTTTTACCATACTCATTTCAACTAACTGATTATGACTGGGTCCAATTTTGTTAATAAATATTTGTACGCAGATAATTGTGAAGGAAGAAAAAAATCTAAAACTACCAACAATGGTGAAAAATGCATTGAGAATGAAATACATAAAGGGAAACAATTAAAATCATTTGTTGGCTATTCCTATTTGTCGCATTCGGCTAAGCAACCATACCTTGCAAAATGATGCAAATTAGGCTATCTAGTCATAAAACTTGGTCTTCGAACATTGTTCAACTTTTCCGAATACCGATAATCACATTTATTTAATACACATTGTGCAAATGTGTGAACCATGGTAAATGCATGTAAATTACACTTTGACAACACTGCGAAAGGCAGTAAATGCTTCATTCCATATTCAGTTAACCTTACAAAAATTGCTGATTACTAATTTGTTTTCTTTTAAATCATGCTGTTTTTTCACACAATTAATTCCAACAAATCAAACTTCTACATCGATAAGTCCAATGACAATGTTGCAGGTCAAATAGTTTGCATACAATTGAAAACAAAAATAATGAATTTCTTGATTTTGACCAAAAATCCTAATAATTTCACACCGTAAATTCTGATGGTATGTAAATAATGTTGTCATAAAATGGATAAAATCATTTCTGTTTCGTCAAAAGTGTTGTTAAGGATGCTGTACACGTTTTTGGTATTGATTTTCTAAACTGATATTTTCATATAAAATATTTACTGAACCACACAAAGCTATATATTGATGGAAATCTTATTTCACACTGGATATGAAATCGACAAGATAGTGTGTGTATGGACGTGTATAGTCACGTGATCTCTGTGTAAACACAGAAAGCCATTTTAGGTAAAAAATAATTGAACCAATGAATAAACAAATTTAGTGAACATTGGCAACAAAACAGTTTTTCAGACGACTCTCACCACCATTCGGTGTTAATTGAGATATATATCGACATGATAGTT